TTTTTTTTTTTGAGATGAAGTCTTGGTCTGTTTTGTATTTTTAGTAGAGCCAGGGTTTTGCCATGTTGGCCAGGCTGGTCTCGAACTCCGGACCTCAGGTGATCCACCTGCTTCAGCCTCCCAAAGTGCTGGGATTACAGGCGTGAGCCACCGTCGCCTGGCCAATCTTCATTAGTAATAACCACAAAATCTACATATACGTATAGATAGAAAAAATTAGAAAATAAGATATGTCAGATATGTCAAAATATTAACAAAGTTTATTTCTGAGTACAACTTTATCTTTGACTTTAAAAGAAAATTTTAATGACAATAAAATGAATATGTGTTACTCTGAACATGTTAAAAAGGAACATGTGTTACAAATTCAGGACATATTCAGAATAAAACTTTAAAAAGATTGTATATTCTTATACAATCATTTTAGCAAGAAGTGTGACAGTCAAAACTATAATAAGTATTTCTATCTAAAAAATGTTGGTTTACATATTCATTTTGACCTAAGGGTAGAGGATGTTATTTGCAACTCATCGAAACTCATCTTTAAAAATTTAACAAGACAGCTCAGTAGTCTATTTTTTACCATAAAACTATCTTGAGAAAGAATGATGATAACCTGAAGGTTAACATACATTCATTAATATATTTTTTTACTAAATTAGAGAACAACATAATCCAAACAGTCTTATCCTTTTTCAATTCCCCCCTCAAGAAAAGTTACGAAGTACCTTTTAAACTTTTCCACTTTAGTTTCTCAAAGCATAACATGTTTAGTTCTCATGAGTAAAGTACATTTTTAAAGCTATAAAGTGTGAGAACATTATCCTGGAAGCAAGATAATGCTAAACTACCAAATATATTTCAACATTGACAACTTTATAACTTTTATAACTTTGAAGACATATCAAAACAATTTTTAAAATGTTTCCTTTAGCATTTACAATGTAAAATCAACTAAAACTGTACTAAGAGGGAATGGGCTAACAACTTTTCCAAAAATTCTTACTCTTATTAAAATGTTTTTTTGTGTGTGTCTCTGTGTGTGTGTGTCTGTGTTTGAGCAAAGGACTTTCCCGTGATATTTTCCTATTCATCCTGAATCACCTTCCTAATAAAATGGAAAAGCATGGGGCCAGGCATAGTGGCTCACGCCTATTATCTAAACACTTTGGGAGGCTGAGGCAGGAAGACTGCTTAAGGCCAGGAGTCTGGGACTAGCCTGGGCAACATAGTAAGACCCCATCTCTTAAAAAATACCAATTAAAAAAAAATCCAGGCACAGTGGCACACACCTGTAGTTCTGGCTACGCACGTGGCTGCTGTGGGAGGAATGCTTGAGCCAAGGAATTCTAGATTGCAATGAGCTATAATTGTGCCACTGCACTCCTGCCTGGGTGAGAGACAGAGACTCTGTCTCAAAAAAAAAAAAAAAAAAAAAAAAAGGAAAAGTGTAATTGCCATTATTCTTGTATACACTAATCTTAAATGCTAATGGTTTATCTATCATAAGTTTTGCTATGTAACTTTAGATAGAAACCTATTTTAATTTGTATTGTTAAAGAATGATTTAGGCTTCAAAAATTAAGCATAATTGATAGCTTCCATGTAGAATTTAATTAGCCTGAGTTGTAAAATAGCAATATCTTTTATATATGTCAAAGAACTGTTGTTAAAAATTATATTGAGAAATTATTTGCCATGAAAAAAAAATCAAAGAAAGAAGTTCGAGTTGCTGCTAAAAATTACAGACAATTTTCTGGATACACCATAAGGCTCTAATAACAATGCCTCATGCAACTGAAAAGTCCATAGGTAGGCCTGGCTTTGAATGAAGCTTCCTCCAGCATTTCAAACACTGTCATATAATCATACTGTTTGAGATACTGGCTTCCTCCTGGGTTTCTATGTCGCAGCTTTCATTCAGGTACAAATCACTGTATCAATTACAGTCTCTTCTGATGGTTACTGTGGAAATGAATATATATATATTTCTTAGAAAACCCAGCAAAGTAGGTTCCTTATCTATATTGGGTTATCTTCTGGACCATTGCCAGCATTCCAGGTAATTGTCATCTACTCAAAACAGAATTATCCTTATCCTTATCCAGCCAGTCAGTCCTTTGGGGTTGGAATGGCTGCATGGCCACAGCTTACTGTTTTTTCCTTCTCCTACTTCTTGGTGGAATTGTTGGGTTCTGCCATGTCTATGGTTCCACTTGGTCATTAGATTAATGAGCCAATCAATCCCCTTTCATGCTTAAGCCAGTTTAAGTCAAGCTTTCTGTCACCTATGTGGGAACACTTCTGGAAAATGGCCACTTTTAGCCAGTAGTTGAAATATTTAATTTTAATATCAATTTCATTTTTTCTCTTATGGTTTCTGCATTTTGTATTTTGTAAAAACAATTTCTGGCTGGGCATGGCAGCTCACGCCTGTAATCCCAGGACTTTGGGAGGCTGAGGCAGGTGGATGACCTGAGATCAGGAGTTCCAGACCAGCCTGACCAACATGGTGAAACCCAGTCTCCATTTAAAAATATAAAAACTAGTCAGGCATGGTGGCAGGCATCTGTAACCCCAGTGACTCGGGAGGCTGAGGCAGGAGAATCACTTGAACTCAGGAGGCGGAGGTTGCAGTGAGCTGAGATCAGCCACTGGATTCCAGTCTGGGCGACAGAGCAAGACTCTGTCTCAAAAACAAACAAACAAAAAACCTATTTCTCCACCCCAATGGGGTGCGTGCGTGTGTGTGTGTGTGTGTGTGTGTGTGTGTGTGTGTTTGCTCCAAGATTTACAGTATACATATTTAACTTACTATAGACTACTGTCAAATAAAGGAGATTTATCCATATAAATTAAATATAAATAAAACACTGGTAAAGGAGATTTATCTATATAAATCTCCTTTATATGGATAAATCTCCTTTACCAGTGTTTCTCCAAGTTTAATATTCATATAATAACCTGAAAAATTTTAAAATCCAGATTTAGCTTATAAGTGGTGTTGATATTACTGTTTACAGACCTCACTTTCATTTCTCTTTTCACATTTATGTCTTTAATCTACCTGAAAATGATTGTGAATGGTGTGAAACAAGACTAAATTCATCCTCACACACACCCCGTCCATATAAACCCCCAGGTACTCCTAGAACTCTTTACGTACTGAATAATCCATCCATTCCCCACTACACTCAATAACGTAGTATTTGTCATACATTATATTCTTTAGAGACTGTTTGGGGCCTCTCTACTCTTCAATTAGCCTATTTGTCTGCCCTACACCATGAAAATTGCTACAAAAATTTTAATTATTGCTGTAATTGCTATAATTTAAAAATAATTTTAAATATAAGACAAATCCCTCATCCTGTTTTTCTTTCTCAAATTTGTCTTAACTATCTTTTGTATTTTTCTCTTCTTTAATATGTGTAATCTTAGACTCTGAGGAAAAAAAATGTCAAGACTAAGATTATTTGAATTAAAATTATAATCTCGGTGAGAATTAATCTGTATTAAGTCTTCCTAACATGAAGATGGCATGTCTATCCATTTATTTAGGTTTTCTTTAATGTTTTGTTTTTAATTTATGTAAGTTTTATAATTTTCTACATAAAGTTCATGCAGATATTTTATTACATTTTTAGGTACAACTTATCTGTTCTCTCTCTCTCTCTCTCTCTCTCT